GGGGGGGGGGTCCGGACTCCAGCCCTCTCTCGGATGGCCTTTGGAAACCCTCTGATGCCAAACTCCCCGTCCAAAAAAAGAGCACGCGAGCCGGGCAGCGCTCCCCCGTCTCCCCCCAGCAAGACTGGAAACCTCAACCACCACCCCCACCACCCCCCTCCACGCGCCAGACTTCCTTGGGAGGGGGAGTCAACGTGCCCGGGGTCCGGCTGCCGGGCTCCTTCCCCTCCCGTCGCAGCCCTCCGCAGTCCTCCCTGCTCTCTCCGGCCCCGATCAGAGAATGTTAGAGCGGGAAGGGGCCTCGCAGGTCATCTAGTCCGACCCCCCGGCACTCTGCAGGAGCAGAGCCGAAAGGTAATAGCCCCACACTACAGCATCCCCGAAAGATGGTCGTCGAGCCTCCCCTCTGATCCGCTTGTAACATCCTTACTATTTGAGAGAGAACTGTCGCTTTATGATACGCCCGTAATAGGGGGAAATCCAGACCTCCTAGTTTGGCAGGGCGATGAAGAATGTTCTGGTTTAATCTTGACTTTTTCCCTTCCCAAAGAAATCGTGTCAATGAGTTCTGCCAAGTCTGTAAGTCTTTGTTCGTAATATGGATTGGCAAAGTTCGGAAAAGGAATAAGAATTGTGGTAGAGCGAAGCACTTTATAAGATGTAATCTGTCCGCTATCGTTAGTTGTAACTTATTCCATTTTTCCATGTCCGCTTTTATCTTGTTGTAAATTCTATGATAGTTATGTTTCAAAAGGTCCTTTATGTTCAAAGGTATGTATACTCCTAAATGTCGCCAACTTTCCTGGACCCATTTGAAACTGAATGAGCTTTTAAATCTTGTTTCTGTTGACTTTTTCAATTTGATGGGATATATTTCAGATTTGGACAAGTTAACCTGCAGGCCTGAAATGCTAGCGAAGGATGTTAATACGCTCTGGATCACTTGCACTGAGCGCACTGGATCAGTAATATACAGGGTTAGGTCATCTGCATATAGATTCACCTTATGTTCCTGATCCCCTATCTTGAAACCCCTAAATTCGTCAGCCTTCCTCAGTTCTTCAGCAAGAGGTTCTATCGCTAGCGCAAATATTAACGGGGACAAGGGGCAACCCTGTCTGGTACCTCTTGAGAGAATAACATCATTCGAGCTGTATCCATTCACCCTCACTTTGGCTTTATTTTTGAGGTAAAGAGTCTCTAAAGCCTTGAGAAAGTTGTTGCCAAATCCCAATTTCCTGACCAGTGCCAGAACGTAAGGAATTTCGACCGAGTCGAACGCTTTCTCAAAGTCCAATGCTAATATCAGAGATTCCGCTCGACTGGATCTTCCGTGTGTGATAATATCCAGGGTTCTGCGGATATTATCTGATATTTGCCTATTGGGGATAAAGCCTGTCTGGTCTGCATTAATATACACTGTGATGAACTGTTTTACTCTGTTGGCGAGAATTGTAGTGAAGATTTTGTTATCATGATTTAACAAGGTTATGGGTCTGTATGATGCCGGGTTTGTCGGGTCTCTGTTTTCTTTATGTATTACCGAGATGGTTCCGTCCGTCCAGGAACTTGGCATGCTTCCATTCAGTAGGATGTTATTGCATGCATTCACCAAGTGTTTCGCTAAGATCTCATTAAATGTTTTATAAAATTCTGACGGTATCCCATCAGGGCCTGTGGCTTTGTTGGTCTTGAGTTGCTTTATCGTATCTGACACCTCTTGAAGATTCACCGGCGAGTCCAGTAGTTCTTTATGCTCCTGGTCTAACAACGGTAGTGATGGAATTGATTGTAAGTACTGCGCAATCAGCCCCTCTTGCGGTTTTTTACTGCCGGATGAGAGAAGTGGGGCCGTCGAGCGCTTTTCGACGGGGGAGCCGGCCACGAATTCTGTGCGTCTCTCGGGTGCGTGACGGCTCCGCTCATCCGAGCAGCAGGGATCCCTGCAGGTCTCCCCCGCCCCCCCCCCATGGGCCTTCTCCTTGGAGGCCCCCATCTTTGGTGTAGCCAGCTTGGTGTTGGTTAAGGGCGCCGACTCTGATCTGGGAGAACCGGTTTGATTCCCCACCCCTCCTCCACTTGCACCTGGCTGGCTGACCTTGGGCAAGCCTTAGCTCTGATAAGAGCTGTCCTTGAAAAAAGAGCCGTTTCTGTCAAGAGCTCTCTCGGCCCCACCCACCTCCCTCCCAGGGTGTCTGTTGTGGGGAGGGGAGGGGAAAGGAGTTTGTAAACCGCTCTGAGACACCTTCGGGTAGCGAAGGGCCATGGGGTATAAATCCAATCTCCTCCTCCTCCTCCTCTTCTTGGAACAAGCCTCAACCCAGCCACTGAACACCTTTGGATGGCTACTAAGTGTGCACAGACTCTAATCTGGGAGAACCGGGTTTGATTCCCCCTCTCCTCCACTTGCACCTGCTGGATGACCTTGGGCAAGCCGTAGTTCTGACAAGAGCTGTTCTTGAAATAGAGCAGTTCCTGTCAGAGCTCTTTCAGCCCCCACCTACCTGTTGTGGGGAGGGGAAGGAGTTCGTAAGCCGCTCGGAGACACCTTTGGGTAGTGACGGGCGGGGTATAAATCCAATCTCCTCCTCCTCTTCTCCTCCTGCTCCCCCTCCACTTGCACCTGGCTGGATGACCTTGGGCAAGCCTTAGCTCTGATAAGAGCTGTCCTTGAAAAAAGAGTCGTTTCTGTCAAGAGCTCTCTCAGCCCCACCCACCTCCCTCCCAGGGTGTCTGTCTGTTGTGGGGAGGGGAAGGGAGTTTGTAAGCCGCTCTGAGTCCTCTGGGTAGCAGTGTTCCCTCTAAGCTGAGTGAGTGTGAGCTAGCTCACAGTTTTTTAGCCTCCAGCCCACACATTTTTGTCTTAGCTCAGGAAGGGAGGGCTCCAGAGCAAACTGATTTATGCAGGAGCCAAATCGCTCACTCACAACTTCAGTGCCAGTAGCTCACAAAGTGGGGTTTTTTGCTCACAAGCCTCACAAGGATTAGAGGGAACATTGCGTAGTTAAGGGCCATGGGGTATAAATCCAGTCTCCACCTCCTCCTCCTCCTCTTCCCTGCTACAGTTTGGTGTCGTGGTTAAGTGGGTGGACTCTAATCTGGGAGAACCGGGTTGGATTCTCCACTCCTCCTCCGCTCGCAGCTGCTGGTGTGACCTTGGGCAAGCTGGAGCTCTGATAAGAGCTGTCCTTGAAAAAAGAGCAGTTTCTGTCAAGAGCTCTCTCGGCCCTGCCTGCCTCACAGGGTGTCTGTTGTGGGGCGGGGAAGGGAAAGGAGTTTGTAAGCCGCTCTGAGAGTCCTCTGGGTAGTGAAGGGCCATGGGGTATAAATCCAATCTCCACCTCCTCCTCCTCTTCCCTGCTACAGTTTGGTGTCTTAGTTAAGTGGGCGGACTCTAATCTGGGAGAACCGGGTTTGATTCCCCATCCCTCCACTCGCACCTGGCTGGATGACCTTGGGCAAGCCTTAGCTCTGATAAGAGCTGTCCTTGAAAAAAGAGTCGTTTCTGTCAAGAGCTCTCTCAGCCCCACCCACCTCCCTCCCAGGGTGTCTGTCTGTTGTGGGGAGGGGAAGGGAGTTTGTAAGCCGCTCTGAGTCCTCTGGGTAGCAGTGTTCCCTCTAAGCTGAGTGAGTGTGAGCTAGCTCACAGTTTTTTAGCCTCCAGCCCACACATTTTTGTCTTAGCTCAGGAAGGGAGGGCTCCAGAGCAAACTGATTTATGCAGGAGCCAAATCGCTCACTCACAACTTCAGTGCCAGTAGCTCACAAAGTGGGGTTTTTTGCTCACAAGACTCACAAGGCTTAGAGGGAACATTGCGTAGTTAAGGGCCATGGGGTATAAATCCAGTCTCCACCTCCTCCTCCTCCTCTTCCCTGCTACAGTTTGGTGTCGTGGTTAAGTGGGTGGACTCTAATCTGGGAGAACCGGGTTGGATTCTCCACTCCTCCTCCGCTCGCAGCTGCTGGTGTGACCTTGGGCAAGCTGGAGCTCTGATAAGAGCTGTCCTTGAAAAAAGAGCAGTTTCTGTCAAGAGCTCTCTCGGCCCTGCCTGCCTCACAGGGTGTCTGTTGTGGGGCGGGGAAGGGAAAGGAGTTTGTAAGCCGCTCTGAGAGTCCTCTGGGTAGTGAAGGGCCATGGGGTATAAATCCAATCTCCACCTCCTCCTCCTCTTCCCTGCTACAGTTTGGTGTCTTAGTTAAGTGGGCGGACTCTAATCTGGGAGAACCGGGTTTGATTCCCCATCCCTCCACTCGCACCTGGCTGGATGACCTTGGGCAAGCCTTAGCTCTGATAAGAGCTGTCTTTGAAAAAGAGCAGTTTCTGTCAAGAGCAGTCTCGGCCCCGCCTACCTCGCAGGGAGTCTGTTGTGGGGAGGGGAAGGGAAAGGAGTTTGTAAGCCATTCTGAGACTCCCTTGGGTAGTGAAGGGTGGGGTAGAAATCCAGTCTCCTCCTCCCATCTTGTGCAACAGCCGGCCTGGGGAGATCAGGGAGGTTCTCAGCTTTCCGCAGTTGGGTGGCCTCTGCTGTGATGCGCAGGGGACAGCCTGGTTCTCCCCCCCCCCCTTACACAGAGGGGATTTTGCTCCTACAGTTGCTGCTCAGGTGTCCCTTTGTTAGCAGCCAGAAAAAAATTCTAATATATACAGAGGTGAATTGTTAGAACAATCAAGAGAGTGTATTTGTAGTTTTGTTTCAAGGCTTTCCGTTTCTTTCGTTGAGATGTACTTTGGTTAGTATAATTCAACACTAACACAGTTCTTATTGATGTTTCTCAATTTCAAGTGAAGGGTGGGGTATGAATCCAATCTCCACCTCCTCCTCCTCCCTGCTCCAGTTTGGTGTAGTGGTTATGTGGGCGGACTCTGATCTGGGAGAACCGGGTTTGATTCCCCACCCCTCCACTTGCACCTGGCTGGATGACCTTGGGCAAGCCGTAGTTCTAATAAGAGCTGTCCTTGGAAAAGAGCAGTTTCTGTCGAGAGCTCTCTCGGCCCCACCCACCTCCCAGGGAGTCTGTTGTGGGGAGGGGAAGGGAAAGGAGTTTGTGAGCCGCTCTGCGACTCCCTTGGGTAGTGAAGGGTGGGGTAGAAATCCAGTCTCCTCCTCCTCCTCCTCTTGTGCAACAGCCAGCCTGGGGAGATCAGGGAGGCTCCTGGCTTTCCGCAGTCAGGTGGCCCTGCACGGAATGAGGCACAGAGTCACTTGGAGAAATTGTCGGGGGGCTCTGGTCTGTGTTGAGGGGCCTTTCTTGTTGGTGTTGCTGTCACCGGTGGCCCCTGTGGGGCTTTCAAGGCAAGCGAGGTTCAGAGGTGGTTTGCCGTTGCTTCACTCTGCGTCACGACCCTGGTATTCCTTGGAGGGTCTCCCCGGACCGACCCTGCTTAGCTTCCAAGACCTGACCAGATTAGGCCAGCCTGGGTTATCCAGGTCCAAATACTGATCCGTATAGCCTATTGCAAGTAGGATCCTGTTTTTTTTTCATTTTTGTACTGCCGTAGGTTGGATCCTTCTGTGTGATTTACACCATTTAGTGGCTCGTGTTTGCATTTATGCTTTCGTTCAGCACAGACTTTTAGATCCCTGGTTGCTCCTACAACCCAAATTCCATTTCGTAGTTCATGCACTGTGCCGTCCTATTGACTGCGTTGGGTCACCTGCCCTGAGTCCCCGCGCGCGAGAGAGTTGGACTCTGATAAAACGTAAAGAAAACGCGTAATACATGCATAAGTGTTTTAATTTCTTAGCCACCTTGGTGACGACTGGAAAGTTGGGATGTGAATTTTTGCCAGTGGAAACAGCTGAAAATAAATTGTCTGACCCACACGGTGGTCGTAGGGAGGCCCAGAAAGGCCCAGGCATGATCACACGGGATGAATCAGACAAGCCCATTGGCTGCTCCACGTGCAAAGCATTGGGGGCAGCGCTTGACATCCCGTCTGCCGTTTTCCTGGGGGTTCGCTGCTGCCCCCTGTTCATCCAGGCAGCCCCTGAGCTCTGACCTGGGGAGGCATTAGGCTCCTCTGCCCCCCCCCCCCAAATACTTGGACGGAGCTTTTGCCAAACGCATCCAGCCTGTCTGCAGTGGCTGAACCCTTATTTATTTATTTTATTTATTTATTGGGATTTTTACCCCGCCCTCCCTGCAAAGCGGGCTCCCCGCAAAGCGGGCCTACCAGTTGCTTTGTCCTGGGCTCCAGTGTATGTTGAGAGTAGCCTCTGCTCTGATGCACAGGGGACAGCCTGGTTCTCCCCCCCCCCTTTCACAGGGGGGCTTTTACTCCTACAGTTGCTGCTCAGGTGTCCCTTTGTTAGCAGCCAGACCTCCTCTCCGGAAGGTAGTTTCAGACAAAATGCCCCTCTTTTCATATCACCCCCAAAATCATTTGTGCACCGCACAGTCTGGCCTAGAAGTGAAACCAGGATGGAGCTGGAACAAACAAAATGGGCACTGGCCAGGAGACAAGCCTGGGAAACGTTTTTGGGTAGGTGACCCAGGGTGACTGACTTACTAGTCGCTCTCCTCCCCATCCCCCAAAAGAGATACTTAATCTCACCAGTGGGTTTCTCAGGAAAGGCACTACCCCCACCTTGATGTGATCATCGCCACACCTGGTCACGTCTCCCCTTTTCCATTCACCCTAATTGATAGGCTGTTCATATAGCATGATAGCCTCTCCCACCCTGTACTCTAGGGTCATCAGAAAAAACAGGTTGCTTACCTGTAACTGATGTTCTCCGAGTGGTCATCTGTGCATTCACACCTCTGGGTTACAGGTGTGATGCACAGAGACAACGAAGAAGATCATTAACAATTTTACTTTACAGGGGCACACGCATCAGACTGCCCCAGGGTCAGTTTTTCCTATAACTGTACGTGCTTCACTCCACAGATTGTATGTGTGTGTTTCTTCAACGCCAAACATCACACCCTTTCCAGAGAAACGCTGGCTGTTCTCTTTCACCACCTTCTGCGAACAGTGACCTTGAGACCTGG